TCATTGAACATCTTAAATTCTTAAACTTTTTCTTAATACCAAACTTAAATCATATGAATCATGATTTTGAAACTTAGATGTTGGTATAAACTCATATACCATTTAAACAACCTGAAAGTGAAAATAACTAAATTCCACATACATAAATTCATGATTCAAACCTCATCTTAAACTTACTTAGTAATAAAAAAATGGTAACTTAAAACTCATCAAAAACCATATTATGATATCAATATACTATTCATGAAACAATTCATAGAATTGTCTTCTTAACACATTCCACTAAAACTCAATCAATACTCATATAAATCATGTCTTATTACTTAGATGTTGACTTACAAAACTTGTAAGTGAAATAACTCAAATTCACATACATAACTCAGCATATTTAACTTACCAACATCGAACTTAACTCATGATTTATAACAATTAAACCTTGCTCATCCTTATAACTCAATGATGACATTAAATCAGGATATCAACATGTTCACTCAACATGTTAAAGCTAAACTTGCACAATTTCTGAAATTGCATGCTTATCAACATTTTGATGCTAAACTTATCAATTTACTCTTCATCAACTGTGAAACTCATACTCTTACACTTAACATGAATAACACATCATATTAAGCTATCAACTTCTCATCATGATAACTCATATCAATAACATGAAATGGATACTATTATGCCAACATAAACTAAATCATTACTCAACTTATAACTCATGCATGATATCAATTACTTAAATTCTAACAAGATTCACTTATACTAATCATGCTTTGCTAATAACATGATTCAATCATCAAATACAAGCATGAATTACCTCCTTCAAGGACTTGAAATTTGAAAGACTTGATATGAACTTGAATATGAACTTGAATATCTTGAAAATCCTTTACTCCATAATACTTCTCCTCACTTAAACTCTCAATATAACTTTGATACTTTACTTTGGTGTAAAAATCTGATTTTTGAAGCCTCTATTTATAGCCAAAACTTTGGAATAAAATATTTGGAGTGAAGAAATTAACAAATTAAACAATTTTAACTTGTAAAAATTAATCACTTAAACAAGTCCTTACCAAACATTTCAAATTATCAGCTAAGCATATTTAATTGCTCCAAATACACTTTAGTTGGCATCAAACTCGAATCATAAAAATCTGAAATTTTGTCGGTCACACGACCAGTGTCACTAGTCACACGACCCGTGTGACACCACACGACCCGTGTCACTTGAGTCACACGACCCGTGTAAACTCACACTGTAATATCCCGATATTTTAATCTGTATAAATTACGTTGTAGTTCCGATATAATAACGTTATCGATTATTATTTTCGGAATTAATTATGTTTAGTCGGGATTACCGAAATCTATTTTCGACGTACCAATTACGTTCGGAATTATTTTGGTAATTAAGCATTATGTTTAATTTCATAATTAAACATAATGTAAGTGATTAATTATGAATTAATCACCAACTAAGGCCCATTAGCCGTGAGGTGCTAAAAACATTGGTCCCAAATCTTGGGTTAGGCCGTGGGCATGGGGAATATTAGGCCCAAATTGATTAGTACGGCTTTAAGCTTCCTTTAAGGTTAAGAAAGCAAATTTTCTCCCTCCAAATTAGTGACACTTGGCAGCTCAAGAAGGTGTTTAGTCACACCAAAAACTCATGAAATTCGGACATATGTTGAGGCTTAATGAAGCCACGCTCCAAGCTTGTCACCGAGCCTTCATTTTGTCCGTGCATAAATAGGATGCTTCAAGCAAAATTTTCTCACTTTTTCCCTTAAGACGAGCACTCCTTCAGCTTATATACTGATCCTTTGCAGCAGCTAATTAGTTCAAACCAAGCATTTTCCCTCAATATTTCCATCAATCACTCGGCAATAGTAAGCAACGTACGGCGCACGCACGCAAGGCAAGGAAACACGCCTATTTTTCCGGTTTCGGTCGAACATTCAGTAAGTTAATTTCCTCCTCAATTCATAATCATGTTAGTAAGTTCAATTCAGAGTTAATTGTTCGGAGAATTTTGAGAAATTCGTAAGAAAAGTTCATGTCGAACTTGGTTAAGGATTATTAGTTCCATACCGGGTTAAGTCCAAATCCTTTCAGCAAGTCTCGAGCGTTCAGCGGTTGTTTAACCTTTATTTAATTTATCATGTTCAGTCAAGTAACTATTGTTGAGTAAAGACGAAGTTTTGTCGATGAGTTGGCCCGAGACCATCGCCAGCGCCTATAGCGCATGGCTTCGGGTGGCCTCGGGCCGTACCTTAGTGTCTTCAGCAATAATCATGTTTGTCCGTGTGATTAAATCTTAAGTTGTTTCAGTATAAAGATGATGTTGAGTTATTCTGAAGTTGTCGAGTAAAAAGGTCCTTCGGCCGAGAAACGGCGTATAGCCGTCGGCGGCGCACGGGCGTTCGCCGCGGCCCTTTCATGTTCAATATGCGTTTGCTGTATCTTCAGGTCATATTTGATGCATATATTCATGTGAGACATGTTAAGTCTCAGTGAGGTTCAGTATTGGTCGAGATACTTCTAATTTAGTCGAGGGATGGCCGAAGGCCGTAGGCCTCGCACGTAGCGAGCGCCACGACCGAGTGTTAGGTCCAATCAACAAGTTCAATAATTTCTGTTTAAATTCAGCTTATTGTGCATGTTAGAAATAGTCAGTTTGGTCGGATGAGTCCGCCGGACAGTTGGCAAGGGGTCGACCGTGGTCGCGCTGCCGCACACAGGCAGCAGCGCCCCGGCCAGCATCCAGTATGCCAGGCAGCGCGCCAGCGCAGCGGCGTGCGGTTGTCTGCGCACA